GAATTAAGATTGCCGGAAGAAATATCAACAACCTCCGATATGCAGATGATGCCATTCTGATGGCAGAAAGTGAGGAGGAATTAAAGAACTTCGTAATGAGGGTGAAAGAGGAGAGCGCAAAAAACGGTCTGAAGCTCAACATCAAAATAAATTAAGATCATGGCTACTGGTCCCATCACCTCCTGGCAAATAGCAGGGGAAGTTATGGAAGCAGTGACAAATTTTGCATTCTTGGGCTCCATGATCACTGCATATGGGGACAGCAGCCACGAAATTAAAAGACACCTGCTTCTTCGGAGGAGAGCGATGACAAACCTTGACAAAGCAAAGACGTCACCTTGCCAACAAAAGTTCGAATAGTCAAAACTATGGCTTTTCCAGTAGCAATGTATGGACGTGAGAGCTGGACCATAAAGAAGGCTGACCGTCAAAGAATTGATGCTTTTGAATTGTGGTGCTGGAGGAGACTCTTGAGAGTCCCTTGGACTGCAAGGAGAACAAAGCTATCCATTCTAAAGGAAATCAACCCTGAGTGCTCACTGGAAGGACAAATCCTGAAGCTGAAGCTCCAATACTTTGGCCATCTCATGGGAAGAGAAGACTCTCTGGAAAAGACCCTGATGTTAGGAGAAGGGGATGACAGAGGACGAGATGGTTGGACAGTGTCACCAAAGCTACCAACATGAATCTGACCAACTCCGGGAGGCAGTGGAAGACAGGAGGGCCTGGAGTGCTCTGGTCCATGGGGTCACGAAGAGTAGGACACGACTAAATGACTAAACAACAACAACTAAGCCAAGTCTTTAAATGACTCTTAAAAAACACCCAGCGAGGGTGCCAGGGTGATTTCCGATGGCAAGGTGTTCCATAGTCGAGGGGCCACTGCCAAGAAGGCCCGGTTTCTTGTTCTTTCCTTCCGGGCCTCTCTCAGCATTAGGTCCTTCAGCCGTCTTTCTTGGCTAGAATGAGTGACTCGGGTAGATCTAGGTGGGAGAAGGCATTCCGCCATGTATCTAGGTCCTTTAAGACTGATGGGGATTTGAAAAGGATGCATGGTAGGAAGGCTTTTCTGCACAGCTAGCTCAGGCCATCATGGCAACACAGCTCACTGCACTGCAGCTTCATGACTCAGCAGGTATGTACATGTGCTGCGCATGCCATGCAGGCCGGCAAGGCAGTTGCACCGCAAGACAAGATTGTGTGATGAGATTTTTACCTAACCACTAGATCTGCAGGTAAAGATAAAGGTAAAGGTAAAGGTTCCCCTTGACCATTTTTGTCCAGTCGTGTTCGACTCTAGGGGGCGGTGCTCATCCCCGTTTCCAAGCCACAGAGCCAGCGTTTTGTCCAAAGACAATCTTCCATGGTCACATGGCCAGTGCGACTTAGACACGGAACGCTATTACCTTCCCACCGAAGTGGTCCCTATTTATCTACTTGCATTTGCATGCTTTCGAACCGCTAGTTTGGCGGGAGCTGGGACAAGCGATGGGCGCTCACTCCATCGCATGGATTCGATCTTACGACTGCTTGGTCTTCTAACCCTGCAGCACAGGCTTCTGCGGTTTAGCCCGCAGCGCCACCACGTTCCTAAGATCTGCAGAGCCACCTCAAAAAGTAGGTGAGTCCTCTTGAAGAAAAAAACAGGGTATAAATATTTTAAACAAATAAAAGGTGTATTTCTATTTAAAGGCAGGTTCATTGCTTAGCTAGCAACAGGGTTTGCAGTACTTTGTTGTATTAATTACACTGTGTTTTTTATTCCATGACCTTTTTATTCAGATAGTCATGTTAATGGGGTGATACAGAAGTGAAAATAATAAAATAAAAGGAAAGACATCAGAAAGGTCCTAGATTCTTCTTAACAGAATTCTTTTCAGCAGGTTAATTTTTTTTCTTGCCACCTCACTTTCTAAAAGGAGCCTTGGAAGTACGAGATGCAATGACCATCGAAACAAGTCAGCTATAATGTTATGGCCTCAGTAGACACCCTTTCATTTCTTTCATTTCCAGGCCTATCATGGAATTAGAACTTTCTCATTTTTTCCTTCCACCGTTATGATGTCACTCTGCTCTGGTCATGTCATGAATAATCGCCATGGTGATATTGTCTTGTGTACGCTTAGGAGGACTCCTCCTTTCACATGGAGGCTGCTGTGCTGGTGCTTTGTTTTCCTTTTGCGTCAGGGCTGAGTGAGATAGCCACTAAATAATCCCCTCACCATGAAGAAGCACCACAGCCCTTGTTCAGTGGGCCGTAGGCCTGCCTCTGCAGGCCCTCCTTCAACCTCTCCCTCAGGCCGATCAAGCTCAGCAAGCCCATCAGACAAATACAAGGATTATGCTGCTGTCGTAATAGACACAGGCACCGGGTACACAAAAAGTGGCCTTGCCGGAGATGAGAAGCCGAGGTCCTTTCTGCCAACTCTGGTGGGAGTGCCCCGATACAGGACAAAGGAAAGCCCATTGTATTACATTGGGAAGAACATCCCCCAACAGCGTTCAGAGGTGAGCACCCGTGTGGTAATGACTCACGGTGTGGTGACAGACTGGGATGCCCTCGAGATGCTTTGGCACCATGTCTTCTACACAGAGCTCACTGTGTGTCCTGAAGAACTACCTGTCCTGGTCACCGATGCCCCCCTGAGCCCAACCACCAACCGTGAGAAAATGGCAGAGCTGCTCTTTGAGAACTTTGAGGTGCCCGCCATGTTTGTGGTCCACCAGTCCCTCTTGTCTGTGTATTCCTACGGGCGCATAGGCGGGCTGGTGATTGGCTCCGGCCATGGGACTTCCTACACAGCTCCTGTTCACAATGGTTATGTCATGCCTGATGCTACCTACCGACTGGACATTGCAGGCAGTGCCCTGACTGAATTCCTGGCCAAGCTGATGGGGGAATCTGGGAACCCTTTTCTCAAGGAGGAAATGGAGGAGGTGTGTCAAATCAAGGAGAAACATGGCTACGTTGCTGAGGAATATGAGTCTGAGCTGAATGCAGACGAGAAGAAATATCTCATAGAGTACACCCTTCCTGACCGCCAAGTCATCTCCATTGGCAGCGAACGCTTCCGCTGCCCAGAGGTCCTTTTCAATCCTACCATGCTGGGCTTCCCAGAGGTAGGGCTTCATGTCCAAGCCATTAACAGTGTCAGAAAATGTAAGCCGGAGTGGCAAGAAGAACTGCTTTCCAATGTGCTGCTGGCTGGTGGCTCAACCATGCTTCGCGGCTTCTCTGAGAGGATTAAGAAGGAGTTGCAAAAAATTGAGCCAGCAAGCAAGGTGGGCATCCTGGCTTCTCCCACCCGCATCTTCTCAGCCTGGTTGGGAGGCTCCATTGTGGCTTCGCTCAACTCTTTCCAAAATATATGGATTAACCGGCAGGAATACAATGAAAAGGGGTCTTTTGTTGTCCACCGGCATCGCTTCTGAATCAGCCCTGATTGTACACACCAAGGTGGTATGTACATATAGTACATGTAATGTATTAAAAAGGTGATCGTGGCAAGCAAAACATGTCTTTTAATTACAGAGGAATGGGGTAATCTTTCTCAAATAATTATATCCACGCACCCCATTCATTCCTTTTCCCCTACAGAATGCTCTCCTGATTCCCACACACACACACTTCTTACAACAGTTGAGGAAATGCTTTGTCACCATTATTTCAGGTTCTCCCCAAACCTTACTATAAAATCTATGGACTTCTTGCCCACACTGTGAAACAACAGCCACACAATTTTGCATGCTGCGTACACAGCACTGGGCCTGAGAACAATCCAACATGCAAAATTACACAGATGTCAGAAGCGGAGATAAAGGTGGGAGAGGTCATATTTGGAGAAGGTGGGCCAGAAATGAAATCACTGGAGACTACATGTGGATCCTCCTGGTGAACAGCAGGCCTAATAAATGCCCCTCCTGTTAACAAATGAGTGGGAGGCCCTTAGGGAAATACATATGGCGAAATCTAACATTGTGGCAAGGGGTGACATTCTTCTGGCAGGAGCGTATCAGCAAGTCATGAGAGAAAGGCTCCAACAGAAATGAAGAACCTTTGTTGTTTAGTCCGACCGTTCGTGACCCCATGGACCAGAGCATGCCAGGCGCTCCTGTCTTCCACTGCCTCCCAGAGTTTGGCCAAATTCATGTTGGTAGCTTCGGTGACACTGTCCCACCATCTCATCCTCTGTCATCCCCTTCTCCTCTTGCCTTCACACTTTCCCAACATCAGGGGCTTTTCCAGGGAGTCTTCTCATGAGATGCCCAAATTATTGGAGCTTTAGCTTCAGGATCTGTCCTTCCAGTGAGCACTCAGGGTTGATTTCCTTCAGAATGGATAAATTTGCTCTCCTTGCAGTCCAGGGGACTCTCAAGAGTCTCCTCCAGCACCACAATTCAAAAGCATCAATTCTTTCACGGTCAGCCTTCTTTATGGTCCAGCTCTCACTTCCATGCATCACTACTGGAAAAACCATAGCTTTGACTATGCAGACCTTTGTCAGCGAGGGGATATCTCTGCTTTTTAAGATGCTGTCCAGGTTTGTCATTGCTTTCCTCCCAAGAAGCAGGCATCTTTTAATTTCGTGGCTGCTGTCACCATCTGCAGTGATCATGGAGCCAAAGAAAGTAACATCTATCACTGCCTCCATATCTTCCCCTTCTATTTGCCAGGAGGTGATGGGACCAGTGCCCATGATCTTAATTTTTTTGATGTTGAATCAGGCCATTTTTTTATTGTGCTCTCCTTTTTCACCTTTATCCCTCTTGATTTTAGACTACAGATCCCACTCTCCATTATTATTGGCAATGCTGTGTAGTGTTGCTGGGAGTTGTAGTTCAAGACATGTAAGGCATTAAAGCTTTGGCACTCCTGGGCTATAAAGTTGGTCTCACAGTGGAGTGATGGGACAGTCTCCTTCCTAAATACAACCCCTGTTTAGTTAGCTAGTAACCCTCTCCACCGTGTTTGCACCACCTAAACACTGCTAAAGCTAAGATACAATTCTTAGTTATCTCATAATAACCAGTAATCGTGGGGCCATAGAAAAACTATCATCCCTTTAGGGGGAGAGATGCAAGGTAATCTAAGCATGTCTCCTATTCCTGACAATACCATGCCAAGAACTTCAGAGATGGTCTTTCTCCTCACAGAACTAGGAACTAATTCTGTTTCTTTTGCCCTGTCTCCATGACAATCTATGTAATTACCACTGGTGGACTATTTGTTGCCATGGCAAATTTAAATGCACACTGATCCTTGTGTGTGTGCGCGTGTGCGATGCTATGAGTCATTGGCTGAGCTGCCAGTCACCCAGCTGGGTCTTGAGCATGCTGTCTCTTGTTTCTCTCCAGAGGGAAGGGGCTGATCAGCTGTGGCTGCTTCCATGGGATTGCCTTTCAGTAACACAGCCTATCTAGAGCAGCAGGAGGAATATATATTCCTCTCTGGATCTTGCTGGACTGCAAATTCCATCATCCTTCACCATTGCCTATGCTAGCACTCCAATCCAAGAACATCTGGAAGGTTCCATGTTCCCTACCTTTTCTACTGAAATAATCTCGTAAGCTGAGCCTCTTATATAACGAATTAGGTATCTGGCTGCAGAGCTAGGGGTTGGGAGCTCAGTGCCCTACTGTGCCTCTTGGGGGGAAAAGCCAGCCTGTGTGGCCTTGGGCAAGTTGCACAGTCCCAAGACACCTTCAGAAGGAGGGAATGAAAAACCACTTCTGTATATTCTCTACCTGGAAAACTTTGAAGAATTTAGTTGATGACAAACAAGATGGTTCATCAAAAAGACCAGGGTAGTTGTGTTCTTATGCCGTTCTGAGTTAGTTCTCCTAGCTGTTCCAAAAGAAACACCCACCATTGCACTGTAAAAGGGAGACACCTCTGTCATCTCCAGCAGGCAGGCTGCCTCCTCCTCACAGCCCCACCCCAAGGATTACTTGGAGATCCCAGCAGCTCGGCAGACTGGGAATATACATGTCAGGACATGGCACCCTGGTGGGAGTGAGGAGGAGAAAGAGCTCCAGCTGGTGGGTGAGGCCACAGGTGGAGCTGGGTGGCAGAAGCCAGAAATAAAAGAAGAGAATAGGGGAGTCCTTGGAGTCTAGGCCAGAATACTGGTCAGAGGCTTGGGAAGAGGAACCTCTAGTCTTTTGTACTCTCAGGGAGAACTGGCTGCAGCTCCTCCAAGACCCCTGGACAGGGGAGGAGATCAGCTTTGCTCTCGGTAGGGGCTGTGGTAGGAGAGTGCCCGTCCCTTCCCAACCCGGACCCTTGTGGCAGCAATCGACCTTGATCAAGAAAGCCCAGGTTAACTCAGGAGAGCCACTGGGGGCAGTGGCAACACCAGTGGCTTGTGCAGCTGGCTCAGAAAAGAGAGGAGCTTCATCAGTCTGGCTCTACTGTCTCTCTTTGAGAGGTTTCAAGTTGCCGGGGCTAGGACCGAAAGCTCAGCCCCAGACATGGACACTGAGCAATGAGTGGTAGTGTGAGGAACTAAGCCCCTGGGTAGATTAGCCTATCTTTCTTTTTCCCTTTCTCCATTTTTCCCAATCTTTGGATTCTGCTGTTAATTTGGGTCTTATTCTTAGTACGTTTATATTTTTATAGTTTATTTTTTATATTTTGTGTAAACCGCCCAGAGTAGACACATTCTAGATGGGTGGTATATGAGTTTAAATAAATAAGGAAGGAAGGAAGGAAGGAAGGAAGGACGGACGGACGGACGGACGGACGGACGGACGGACGGACGGACGGACGGAGGGAGACAGACAGACAGACAGACAGACAGACAGACAGACAGAGACAGACAGATAGACAGACAGACAGACAGGCAGACGGACTGGTGGGATGGGGGAGATCAAGATCTGTAATTTGAGAGTGCACCCTACCCCCCTACCTCTATAAAGCCTAGTTGGCACTTAACCAGCATGTCTGGAGTCCATGGAGCCTATGGTCAAAGAGACCCATCCAGCCATCCTGTCCCACAGCTGAGGCGGGTCATACATTGACATAAACTATGCCCTGTTTTTGTATTCTTCTTTTCAGTGGTAGCTTCCTGCCAGCTCCCTGAGTGCCTGTTAGAATAGAATACCAGCCCCAAAATGGAGAGTTCTTAGCAGGGGAGAAAGGCACTGGAAAAAGAGTGCCTTTTTTTCTGCCAAGAACAGTCATGATGGAAAAGGATGAATGGTTCTCATGTCAAGCATGTTCCACAAAAATCTCATTGCCTGGATGAGTTTGGAATTAAGGAATGACACCAATACTCAAGTATACATTCTCATGTAGTGCTCAGGAAAATCCTGCAACAAGGGTGGCCATCTATCATACACACACCCTGCTAGGTGACCGCAGCATCCCATTTGCCACACAGACTCTCCACTTTTCCTGGCATGTCAGGAGCAAGCCTTCACCATCCTGCACAGAGAAGGCTGGGCTCAGGATGCAGCCCACTAGCTCCTAGTCCCGCTCTTCTCCAAGTAACATTGGGTGTTCCGCATAATAGTGTGAGCATGAGCTCCTAGTCCCTCTCTTCTCCAAGTAACATCTGTGTTGGGTGTTCCGCATAATAGTGTGAGCATGGCAAATGGGGCTGTTGGTGGTGCATGGATCTTTGATGGTTTCCCCATCAGCCAAACAGTCACCCGAGGCCCCCGTATGATCTGAAGAAAGCCAGTGCGTGGAGCTCAATGGACTCCCATCGATGCATAGGCGACACCCCTCCATAATCACATTAATTCTATAAATTAGACATTTTGTAAATATTGAGCTGTGTCTGGCTCCTGCTGATTAATTGGGAATTATACTTGAGGTTGCTACACAGTACAAAGATTAATAGCTGTGTGTCTTGCTGCTTTTGGGCCGTATGATTAAGCTCTTGATTAGAAGCCATGTTGACAGCACAGTGCTAATTCCCCCCGGCCTCCCCGACAGTTAATTATAGGCGGAGGTGGTCCCCGGTCAGTGTGATCATAGCATTCACTGGGGCGAAGCGCAGCCCCACTCCGCATTGGCTGAAATGCACCCACTTCTGCCATTTACATTTTGCATCTTGGCATTGGGTTTCCACAACTCCAACAAGGACTCTTGAGTCATGAGTTACCCAGGACAGGGTGTGCTGAAGCCTCAGACCTCTCTTTAGAACAGTGATGGACCATCTTGTGTCCATTGAGGAGGCTGCACTCCCTTTACTTGGGCAGTAGGCAGGGCTGAAGCCAGTGGTGGTTCGGAGACAGCCAAAAACAAGTGAGTCCCCTTCATCTCCTTCCTCTTTTTTGTCTTTGCCTTCCTTCCTTCCTTCCTTCCTTCCTTCCTTTAATTTTTGCCAACATGCGGAGGCAGATTAACATGGCTTCTCCTTTGGAAATCACTTCCAGCTTGACATGGAGAAAAACTGAGAGGCAGCCTTCCTTCCTTCCTTCCCCCCCAAGCAAGCCCCTGGCAATGGAGCAGACCACCATTGTAAAGGTCTGATCTGATTGCTGCCATAGTGTCT